CTATCTCGATTCAACTGAAACTCACACCTAGTCGAATGTTACCGGACTTTCTTAAACTTTTGTAATGGTGGTAAGTTTCAAATAACATCCGTTTTGCCTGGACTAGCATATTTGTCATACCATGTCAAATAGGATTAGTTGTTTAATCCTGTTTGTCCATACACTTCGCACTCATTTCATTCATATTTCTACATATCCGGTCCTTACTTAGAGTCGTAACGATAACTTTACAATTGAAAAGGTTTTGCTCGAGAACTGCTCCTATCGAACAAAATGAAGAGACAAAGAAATTTCCTTTCTATATATCCCTTCAATCAATTGCCTGTACCCAAATTCGGATTATTCAGTAGATCTGTCCGGAGTTCAGATCCTGGACGGGACAGTGGATCTGCACCACAGATGAGCTATTTTAAGAGCTAGTGTTTCCAGGTGTATGATTCAGTCGGTGAACTGAAGATTGTGCGAGAAGTTGAAATCCTACACGCATCCAGCTGTGTTCTATTTGACTACAGTGCGCGCCCTTCGATTGGCTGCGCTACACTTGCACGCTCTCCATCACATTGTGGGCATTGTCATATTTGCACTCACTATCATGCGCGTCGTTACTTACCGGATGATATTATTTGTTTCAAACGTGCCAGGACATGCTTCGATGGTTCAGCGATTTGCGCGACTCCATTTTCTCACTGTCCAGGCTGGACTAAAAAAACGCAAGCATGCAGGATGGTAAGTTGCTCTTAATTGCACCCCTTTGTCAAGATGACTGTCCCCTCATTGGTCAGCACCAAAACTCGGTCCCTGTTTCCCAAAATGTCGGATTTAACTAGTGTCCTCCGATCAAGAATTCATACGAACACGTGTGCAGTCTGTCTAAAAGAATCCTGGCTGAACAAAGATGTAGATAACTCTCTAGTATCAATAGACGGTTTTCAAGTTCACCGACAGGATCATGGAGCCGGAGGAAAACAGACCGGAGGGGATGTTGCCGCCTTTATCAAGGTTTCCGGGTGTGGCAAGTCCCATGTTGTTTATCGGTACTGCTCAAAAGGTATTGAGGGCCTATCTATACAAGGTCACCCTAGATTTTCCCGTTTTACTCACACAATTTTGAATAACTTGTATATAGCCCCCTCCTGTACACAGTCTGATCGTATGTCATTTTTCGACTCGTTCGTACCTTTTATGGCCCCACTTTTAGATGTTACCCTGCACATAACCTATGGTGACTTTAACCATACTAGTACCTATCCACTTTTGTCATTGGATATGACAGATCTTTGTCACTCTCTAATAAGAGGTAATTCTATACTGGACAGTGTAACTACCAACCACCCAACCCTTTTTTCTTTAGCACTTAAAGCACATATTTCCTCCGGTGACCATTACTTACTCTTAGTTCGACCTAAAGTTTATTCACAGTGCATACAAATCTTTCTCCCGATATGAGTAAATCAGCTTTCTTTTTGGTAACTTCTCTCCCGAATGAATCTTTCAGTCACGCCTCTTTATGGTTTTTATCATCTTCTCTGTTCACATGTGTTCCCTTATTCACGCAAACAATCATCGCCATTTATAATTCCTTCTGCCCTGTTCAAGTCTCTATGTGCCCAACGGCAGGAGAAACTCTTCCGTACCAAAGTCTCTGTGACGACAAAAGGACCGTGCGTACAAGTCTCATATTGTGATATGCTAAATTGTTTAAACCCTTGCAATTCTTCATCTGCTACAGGCCCGGATGACTTACATTCAGCCTTCCTCAACTTTGGTGCTGCTTCCCTAGCTGGGGCAGCCACCTCCATTATGAATGAATTTCTCAACACGTCTACTATCTTCAACTGTTGGAGGCCGGTCACAATCATAACAATCCCCAAGGCATCCAAATCTCCTATCCTCTCCAAACGTTTTCGCCTCATAGAATTAACATCCTCAGCTGTAAAATTAATTGAAATGGGCATCCTCAAACGCATTCAGCAGTCTATAAACATTCCCATTGACCCGTTACAGTTTGCTTACAAGCCTAATAGATCCACTCTGGACGCAGTCTCTACCCTCATTCATTTCATCACTAAATCGTTGAAGAGCTCTGTTAAGTCTGTTCAGTGTGTTTTTCTGGACTAATCTTCAGCATCTGATCCCATTCCTCGATCTAAGTTGTTATAAAAACTGGAATCGTTTCAATGCCCCAAGCAGTTGTTAGCTTGGCTATCCAACTATTTTACCGATAGAGTACAAACCACTAGATTGAGGAAGGCCATATCGAAACCCTTAGTCAACTACTCCGGTGTCCTTCAAGGAGCTGTGCTATCCCCATACTTCTTGTTCACTTATATTTGTGATATTCCTTGTGCTTCTCCCGCATGAATTTTGAAATGTGCGGATGGCGTCGTGTTGTGCCAGCGCATTTCTTCTTACTCTGATCTAAGTTCTTTCACCGATAATCTCGATCAAATTCAGTCATTTTCCTCCTCATCGGGACTAGCCCTGGACCCCAGTAAACGCGTTGAGTGTTTATATAGTTTTGCTCGCTCCCCATATCCGACAGACCCCACAGTGATTTATTGCAATCCTTTATCCAGGGTGAACTCTGTCAAATATCTTGGTGTAACTAACCATAGATAGCAATCTTCATTGTTCAACCCACAGCCACGACTGCATTGGTAAACTACGGCGCTTATCATTTCAAATACGAAAGTTCAGGTAGTTTCGCGCATCCCAGTCAGTTATTTCTACCTTTATTTATCAGCGTTTTCCCCCATCGTACTCTACTGTTCCCCAGTTATGAAACAGGATTTTAAAGTCCTACGCCGCGGTCCAACCATTATTAGTAGGATCTCTTCTCTTCCTGTAAATGAGTTAGCTTTATACCTTTCAGAGTATCATGTAACTTCTCACAGATCCTGACCACCCGTTGCACGCAGAAATGAGACGTTGTCGTTCTCATCATTCAACACGCTCACAATTCCGCCAAATTTCATCTTGAATTAACGCATACCGCAATTCACCCATACCGTATCTTGCTCGTTTACTCACAAACAAAGAACAGACAATAAACAAAGAGCGGACTATGAGTGAAATTTGTCCTAAACTTGGTTTATGAAATGTCCCCATGTGTGCAAAAAGCTTTTCTCCATATTGATTATGTACATTGTGACGGTTGGCGTGTAAGACTTTTTAACTGAAAGATGAGCTCCAGTGCTTGCAAAAGTTATACACAATACAAAACAATACATAATACAAATCCGAAGGATATTCAGTTCAAATCAATATCAATACAGTGAATGAGTGAGTATATGTGTGTGAGAGAGAGAGCACGGAATGTGCCGTTGACAGCAAACTAGGGGTAACAAAAGCACAGTAAACTGGACACAACATGAACGGTGTTATACGAGAATGAACAAAATAGGTGTGAGTTGTGTGTGGGAGGAATGAGAAGGGTATTGCATAGAACCATTGGGCATTCACTTTTTTGGTCATGGCAATAACAGCACTTGAATCAAATTCCGTTGCTTGCTCTATTCCGGATTCAGATTAGTCAGAAGCTTCTACCGTAATCCTTTGGTTCTTGGGTACTGTCAGTAAACGTGTAAGCGATGTTTCTGGGTCGATTCTGTATCCACCGTGGATCAGACGTTGCAGGATTAAGCTGTTTCTTTCCGAAGTGCGACCAGAAAATGTTCAGATATTCTCTTGGTCAAACACATCTTTGTGTGTCCCATGTGGCTTACACTTAAAATGATGTGAAACAAAAAATTGGGACTGATGAGTCAGTTTATCCTTAAGATGTTTGACAATGAATGGCCCAGTCTTCCATGACAGTTATAGATGCCTCGCCGGAAAACTTGGGACAATGTCTTCTGATAACCGACGTTCCAGGGTTTCTAATGTCCTGCCTCTCTTGAATGAAACGTTATTGAGCACCTCCGTCTCTCTAGTTGAGGGCGGAAAAAGCCATGGATGGTGAAGGTAAAACCTGGGATGAGTGAATGAAAACCCTGACCAGGGGACTGGGTAACATAAATCCTGTTAGGCTCCCTGGATGGAGACCTGGGGATGTACTTACCCGATGGTTAGAGACACTGAGTGATATGGCTGCGTCTCAAAAACAGTATCGTTCTTGCATTGCACCAATTGCCTTGCACCCTTTGACCACCGAACTTCCCAATTTTCTATTCGATTCCACTTTCGACTTTCCTGTTCTCTCCTATTCTTCATCCAAATGGGCAGCCAAAAGACAGCAATCAAAACTGGCTCACGAATGTGTATGGTTAATGGTTGTACAAACTCAACTGATATGAGTCATCTCGTCAGTCGCGGTTTCCAGAATGCAAATTCTCTCCATTCCATTTGTATGTCAGTTGAACGAAAGTTTCAAAGTGTCTGTACTGTCTCACCCACGTGAACTTACAATTGTACTCTTCTTTCGATTTGGTTATCCTTCGTTTGGTGATGTATAGCGTTCAGCAAAGCGTGAAAGAAGCATTCATTCAAAGACACGTATAATCAAACCTCTAGGTTCCGTCCAGTTTTTCAGCGGTTTATCTCATAAGGCTCTGTGTTATATGTTACACAAACACACGCCAAGATGAAATGGATTGTGTTGTCGTTTCTTTTGCAAGTTTCGAACGACGTGTGGTTTCCATTATAACTTAGTATTCTTTATTTAAACGAGCCACTGGTGTTGTGGCTTTATTTTCATACTCCCATAAACTAATGTACGCCTGTAGATGCAAGTAATTGGTGGTATACCATGTTGGTCATGTTAAACTAACTCGGTTTCCCCTTTTCTCAACTCCTTGCAATTTCTGTAGGGACAATTATTGCAGTTGTTTGTGGGTCAATGCGGTGTCCAAGTGAGTCATGCGTGCTGGGAATTGTTCTGCGCGGAAAGTGGTTTGGACTCATCAGGCAAGCCATTATGGGCGCGGGACCAGGATGATCTGTTTGGAGTAGACTCTTTATTCACGGAATCCAGAAGCGGTCAGCGTGTCCCGCGATGCGTCCTCGTTGATGCGGAGCCTTCGGTAGTCGGTAGGTACAACATCAATGGGGAGTTCGATTGAAGTAGGATGTGAAAGCTGTACGCCAGTGGAAACAGTTATAATTTTGTGAATTGTACGAGGAGGAAATAGGCTGTTATCCGCTAACAAAAAATCAAATTGTTCGGTTGAAAAGTTTTCTTAATTCATATTTTCATTCTGGTCAAAGGTTCCTAGTCATGTAGTTCCCCCAAGGTTTACTTTATTGATGGAATGGAAGGTTTTTCCAGACCGGAAAAACGCAAACCCGTGTGAAATTCGTACAAATAATGTCTCCCTGATTGCTTTTTCTTCATATACAGATGAAATACGTGTAGGAATGCATCGAAAATTGTTTGATCCGGCCCAACTGATCAGTGGCGTGGAGGATTCCGCTGCCAATTTCGCTCGTGGATTTTATCACAATGCCAAAATGCTATTGGAGCCCACATTGGAGCGGTTACGTCATTTGGCTGAAGGTTGTGAAAAGCTGCAGGGGTTCGTACTGCATCACTCGATGGGTGGAGGAACTGGATCAGGGTTTTCATGCGGTAAGTTGTTCAATG